TTCCCACCCTCTTGAAAACGAGAGGGGGGTGTGGGCCGGAGTGGTGTCCCGAAATTTTTTTGGGGGTGTTGGGGGGGGGCGCCCGGTTTTGCTCAAGCCCCCCTAGGAAAAGGGGGGAGGCCTGGGGCCCAAACTAAGGCGGGGGGTTTTTACGGGGTTGGGCGGGGGGGGGGGGGGCAAAGTGAGCAGCCACTTGGTATTATGACGAAGCATGCAAGTTGTTGAGTGCCTTTGTGCACAAATAACTTCAGGAACTCCCCTGGTCTGGCATTCTATAGAATACCAAAGACAAGCCATATACAGCGAGAATATGTACGTTTGTTTCGGAACGCTGATTTGAAGCTGAACTCCGATAGCACACGGATTTGCATTCTTCTAGTTTTTCTCGAACTAGTAAATCTCCCAGGCACATCTTTCTTCAGCTTCACATTTTCATGTTTGTTTCCCTTTCAATTCCACCTTCCTTTTTGCTATTTTGAGCTGTTTTAACTCCGCTTAAACATTCCACTCGGCTTTCTGCCATGTTTGTTTACATGTGCTAAAATAATTATTACAATAATAATATTGTATTTAAATTCTCCAATTTATTATACATCTACTAATAATCTTAACTGCAATTCACTGTACTCATAGATACACTGTAATAAACAGAGAGCTCCATTTAATAATAGTACAATGAAAAAAACTCACACATAAACAACTATTTAACAATTTGTTTGAATTTTTATTTCAACAATATTACGTATGTTCATCAAAGCTGAAACGGCTTTTTTTGCATTTGGGTTGTGTTTGGACATATATATTGCTATTTGTCATTGAGGTATTTTAAAATGTCGTCAGCCATTTAATCTCTTGGATTTGAGCTGTTTGTCATAGAGGGCAATCAGAAGGGAGATATTTATTCTGTATGCAAGAGGGCAGAGGGTGTCATATATTCTGTTTTGAGTAAATCTGTGCTCCAAATTCCAGCACTAATACTTTATACACAATGTAATCCAATCATAACTCTTGTGTTATATTAATAATACTGATAAAATAAACTATATTCATAGTTATGTAACAATGTGAATCACTACTGAATGAGATCAACATAAGCTGGTGACGTATTATTGTCATTAAACACATCTTCTTCAGAGTACCTTCTTTCTAATTGATGATAAACATGTGGACTACTTGACTGTTTCCCAGTTCTTGATTCTACTCCAGCGTAACCTGTGCCCACTTCATTAATAGCTCCATCACTCAGTACTTTCCACAGCATCCTCGTTTGTTGAAAGAATGAAGGATCAGTTATGGGTTCAGCATATCCTTCACTGTCAGACTCTGAGCCGCTTTCGATGTTTGTTCTTGCATACCAGATCTTTCCTGGTGGTTGCTTGGAGTTGATCTGACCTGGTGCCAAAAGTACATATTATTACACCAAAGTTATTTGAGTGTCAATGTGTTTAGCAGGAGAGTGCTATATTAAAACCATATTTTTTAAAAATAATAAAATAAGTTGAGAACACTATTTCTATATCCCCTCAGGAGACAGGTCCCCATTTTACGTGGTCATCTGAGCCACACAAAGGTCAAGCCACTCATTTACAGGGAAAACAAAAGCAAAATAAAATAGTAAAAAAATGGGGGTTTTTACTTAATTTATTCCAAAACTTTAATCTTGAGCAGTAATTTAACTGCATCTTTTTAAGCTCAACTAGGTAGTAGAAACAGAGTGGACATAAGACCAATTTTTGTTTTCTTCCCTCAAGGCTCTTAGGCAAGGGTAAAATAAGTTGGTAAGCAGAAATTGCTGGTATCTTTAAAAAACTACAACTTCCTATTTAGTGCTGTATTTTCCTTTGCTGAATTTGGTCTGAAAATGACTTGTCTTGCTGCAAATTAGTTTAGACAAAAAAAGGTACTTCAGAGATGGTAGCTTGGGAGCATCAGTACTGCACACAAAGTCATTTAATGTTTTTAAGAATGCGATTAAAGGACGTGCACTTGACGAGTTCTTAAGCCATTGACACTCAATAGGTGTAATTATGCATATTTTATATCTTTTAAATAATATGGTAATGTTTTATCACTTTCAAATGTTTATTTTAGATTTCTATTGTTCATATTAGATTTTTTTGTAATTGGTATGTGAAAACCCATTTTAATGGGATGTACCAATAAAGTTGATTGATTGATTGATTTAAATTCAGTCACTATAAATAATGAATATGTCAAGGACAAAGTGAAAGCATGCAAATACCTTGGGCAAGCAATATTTGAGAGCTTCTTGTTTAAAGGACAAACTAGCCTCCTATGCAGACCTTCTTTTGGCTTATCATGCGATCCTCCCCCAGCAAATGACAGGAAGAAATGTGTGATGAAGCCCCTAAGAATGTCTGTGTGGGAGGCTACAAACAAGAATTCAAGTTTTTTTCAAGCCCTACACAACAGGGGCAGATCCAGGATTTTTTAGGAGGGGGCGCACTCGTCTCTTGCTCTACTTCAACACCAATAAACCACATAGTTTTTTTTTTTTTTGCAGAATACCAGTTGTATTAGAAAACCGCAGGACATCTCAGGGGGGGGGGTGCACACCCCTTGCACCCTCCCCCTAGATCTGCCCTTGATAAGATCCTTACCATTTGTAGGCAGCGGGGGAGGGGGCGAATTAGGAGGCGGCCGAAGTTTAAAAAAGATAGTGTGGGGTTTTTGTTTTTTTATAATTTTAAAAAAATTAAATTATTAAAGTTAAAAAAGGATGAAATTTTTAAATTTTGGATTTTGAAAGGGGACACCTTGGTTTATTTAAGGGGGGAGGGGGTGGGGGTCGGGGGGGGCCCCCCCCGTTTAAATTTTTTTTGGGGTGCCCCCCCCCCCCCCCCCCTATGTAAAACCGGTTTTATGGAGTGCTAATTTTTTAAAAAAACACAAATCAAGTTTGGTTTTACTGCGCTCACAAGCCTTTAGATTGTTTTCACCCCCCAAAATATCCTTACTTAAATCAAGACATAAAAAATTCTCGCCAAATTTTCCTGATCGCCCCTTCTACCCTGTCTTAAAAAAAATCTCGGAAACCGAAAAATCCTTCGATTAATCCCGTCCCTTGGAATTCGGAGTACCCCCCTGGAGACAATACTTAGACCTAAAATACGGTCAGTGTAGAATGTCAATTTCGGATTTAAGGCGAAAAGATACATACTGCTTCTAGACTTTCAAAAAAGTCCTTCGCGACTTCGTCACTCGCGGTTGGGCTCTCTCCGCCCGGCAAGAGGTCGACTCAGGTCAGGGGCGGATCCAGGATTTTTTTAGGAGGGGGTGTACTCGTCTCTTGCTCTACTTCAACACCAATAAACCACATAGTTTTTTTTTTTTTTGCAGAATACCAGTTGTATTAGAAAACCGCAGGTCATCTCAGGGGGGGGGGTGCACACCCCTTGCACCCTCCCCCTAGATCTGCCCTTGATAAGATCCTTACCATTTGTAGGCAGCGGGGGAGGTGGCGAATTAGGAGGCGGCCGAAGATCATTCAATGAAAGCGGCCTCCTGTGGTTTTGATCCATTCCTGAATTCCCCCTAACTCTCAGATGAGGGTGTGGCAGGGGTTTAGGTCCACGCTTCGACTTGCGGAGCTTCTCTCTTGAAACATCATAGGCATAATCATATTTTTTACCAATTTCTCTCTTTACTGGCAAAGGAGCGGACACCGCATACAAATAAGGTTGGCCTGACTTTGACATTGTTGCCAACTGTTTGGATAACTCAGGGTCAATTTTCAAGTCCCTTGCGAGATCATTGACTATACTTCTTGACTGACCAGCACCTGTGAACACAAATTAATATATGAACATTATATAATTATAGATACCCCTCACATTTCCACCAAGGGTCTACTCAGCATACAAGGGTTTTGTTGATCGTATGTCTAATGAAAGTCACTTAGATATTGATTGCAACGTTTTAATCATGTCCTGCAGTTCTTCATCAGGCAATAAATTTGATTTACTGAGAGGGACTAACATGTATACCACTCTGGTTGTTAGTGATTGGTGCATCACAAACCTCGCTCTAGGTTAGTGGGTTTCAATCCAAAGCATTGTTGGCATTTTCAGCCGCTGGTGGTTCCCATGGAAACCTATGAAAATACTGCTGCCACTATATTATTCTTTGATGCAACTTCTCTCTAGAAGCACTAATAGGATTATCTCCAAAAAATGGAGAAAAAGGGATTGGGAAGGAGAACCATGCATGGAGAAGAAGAAATGAATCATGCAATGATTAATGAAGATTCATTTGTCACAGTTTGGTTACGTTCCTGCTCTCAACGTACCAGAAAAAACTTTGCTCTCCGTCAACTGTGTGGGTGTGTCATCAATAAGATCAGCCAGTTTTCTGTAGGCTCCTGCAACCAGCAAAGTTTTTGAGGCCCACTCCTGGATTCCATCAGAAATCTTACACAGAGAGTCTTTAAGTTTACGAGCCTGCAAGTAAAAAAGCTTCATTTTGCAGGGCTTCTGATATTTTGCGTGGTTGCGGACCTGCGAAATTCAGGTATTTCCGTGAAATACCGCAAGAATCCACAAGAAATATTTCCAAATGCATGTTGGCAAAACATATTTAATACTTATCTTGGCTATTAGACCTGTTTTATTCACCCCAAACGTCCAAATTTATCTTCAACCTTCGTTACTGCAACGAGTAAACAACGTCCCAAAACTACCAAGCGTTCTTAGATGAACGTTGCGAAAAACTGGGCACCAACCATAACGTTAACAGCTTTAGCACTCCTTCATTTCTCGAGCGAACTGTTGTTGAAAGAGCAAATGATTATCCCTGATAAAAAAAAACGTTAAACAACGCTGGTCATATCGATGCAAAATTGATCGATTTTGGCGAAATTTGCCACAAAAAAACCTAGCAAAATCATCTGTTTTTTACTGATTGTTTCTTGGCGAAGTTTCCCCCCGAAATTCCCGTCAAATCAGCCGATTTTTCCTCGAATTTGCCCCTGAAAATCCGCGAAATTTTGCTTTTTTTCCCTGATTTATCAGAAGCCCTGATTTTAAAAGCTGGTTTGGACAGCACTGGAGTCAGGGTTGCAAGCAAAGTCAAAAAAGCAATCATGACTTGGTGAAAATCATTAAAACTTCAAGTCATGAGTGGAGTCATAAGTACAATGGAATCATAGTAGGAAAAATTATTTTTTCCATTTTCTTCCTTCTCTGAAGAAATCCATTGCTTACAATCTAGTAAAGACCAGATTGTCAGAAGCGCCAGAAATAATTACAATCACAATGCCCATTCCCAAGCTTGGTAATTGGTTTTAGTTTAGTATTATATATTGAGAAAAAGTTACCTTAAATATTTCATGTTTGATTGTTTTTACTTCTAATTCAGCTTGCTCCTGCTCAGCCTGTGAAATGACCTGGAATTTACAAAGAAAAATAGAAAATGAAAATACCTGCAAAATTATGTAATACCCAGCCATTGCAACAAGAACTTGGACTAAAGATACATGGGACTTGAAACCCTTGCAAATGGGTATCCATGCAAAAGGTATTAAAATGCATGCACTCCTGCGTGGGTGAAGGTAGCCTGCGAAAACAGCCATTTCTCCTCACTCTTTGCCACTGGGGACGTTTTGATCTGGGGACGTTTCAATTCTAAGAAAGATTTAAAAATTACCTCAACCATTTCATTTGATATTGTTCTTGGTCTTCCTCCATCACTCTTTCTCTTGCTTTGATCCAGCTACAAAGAGGTTAAAACGTATCAAAAGTAAGATATCAGTACGTAAGCAGCAGAGCTGCAAACAGTACTTGGTCGTTGGACAAAGTCCAACTAAATTGTGGATTGTGTGCTGCAATGCTACCTGCGATCAGATACAATACAAAATATCATTAAGTCTGCAATAATATTATGTCCAGGTCGTACACAACAAGTAGAATTAAGGGAAAACTGTGCAAAGTTCAAGAAGAAAGACTATTGGAAGAATAGTTTTAAAATTTACAATTTACTGTCACCTTCACCTGTTTCTGTACTCTACTCATTTTAGTTGCATGCATGGCTTCTCGTTTCCTTGCTTCATCCAAAGCTTTCTCCTGTTTAAGAACTTCTTTGAAACTTTTTCTGTGTTTATAATACTGTAAGAAAATAACCAAAAGTGAAAACGACAGCTGTTAAAAACTAGATGCCCCAGATGACTGTTGATAAACTACTAGATTCTCCTAACTCAACTTAGCTGGTGTACATGTATGGTTACGAATCCAAGGGAGAGTTTGAAATTACATCAAGAGTCACTACAGTGTAGGAGCCTCATTCCACATAGCCCTTCTGCATTTTTCACACTAAAGATAGCATTTCTAGCTACCGATGTCAAGATTAGTATTTATCAAATCAGTATATAGCAATTTTTGCATAATTTGAATGGCTCCATTAATAATAAGATATCCTTGGCTATTCACTGTTTTGGGACAGGAATCAATATTGCATCCCATTTCGCACTAAGCTCAATATTTCCTCTAGTCTCTCTGGTCTGGTCTTGTTCCTCCAATAGACAAGACGACTAGGCATGTGAGTGGCCAATTTGATTGGAAGAAATTCATAACACCAAACCCACCCATTAAGTCATCTTTTCTGAGGAGAAGTGTGGGCTGGTGATCAAACCTAGTTTCACGACAGTTTCAGAAGACACCATTTTAAAGACAAATGAAGCAGTAAACCAATACCTCTTCACCCAAATCCTTCCACAATGTTGTCCACATACTGGAAACTTCAAAAACCTTGCTGAAGACATCCTGAAGAGCCAAATTTTCTTCAGTTTTGGCCCATTTTAACATGGCAATGGATGCTATTTAAAAAACAATGACAAACTCATTAAACTTGAAGAGTCAATTCTAGCCTAAGGGGTTCCCCTGACCCCTTTCCAGCCAGGCATGCACAAAGGTACAAGAACAAAATTGTGAGATTTTCATCAGGTACAAACAAGAAATTTAATAGGAATTGCAAGTATAAACTAGTCAAAGTTTTAAAAATCCATTACAGAATACATACTAGCCTGCGAAGCGCAGACGCATTTCCGGTCGTCGCTTCTCTCCCTGCGAAAAATAGCGTCTGCGAACCCAAGCGACAAAACGATTTCCGTGACGTAAAACATTTTTAGCCAATCGTGGTTTAGCTCTTAAAATCAAGGAACTAACTCGCGAGACTTCTCGCAGGATCGTGCGCAATGGATATGTTTTCAAGTCGAAATTGAAAGGACGACGGTGGCTTCTGTATAGCCGTCCTTTTTTCTCAGAACGACGCGTTTACGAAAGTTAATTTGCCAGGATTGTGGAACTGATTGACGAAATAAGTATCAAGAGGATTCATATCGAAGAAAACATTAGAGGACATTTTTCATCTATTTGCCTACGGAGTTAATGATTTATCAGACGTAGTTGTTTTGATCATATTCGAAACGATAACTGTCCTAATGACAGTAGACGCATCATGCCGTTTGTTGCTTCTGTTCCTTTCTGGTTCCTGGCAGGAAAGTATGCCTTGGAGAACTCTTCGATAGTTTGTCGTGTGCCGTTTTAGATATTTTTTAGTAGATATCCTTTATCTTTGAAAGGTAGGACATGTGGTAATTGATTTCCCATGCGTGGTTGCTTCTTGGTTCAGATAGAACTTTGATCAGATCGAAAGCATTTTATATTTGCTCCGGTATATTTCTTTAAATACATGTTCTTTTCAAGGTTCTCATTTCCATAGTTTTTTGTGAGATGAGTAGAAGCGTCGTAGCTGAAATGTCATTTTGACTATGATCTATTTACTGCTGTAACTATTTATTTCACGCTGGGTCTGGCCCAGGTTTATAATATTTCAGATCATTGTGTTGTGGCGATACTAGAATTATTAACGAGCGATTGTTAGAGATTTCTGAATCAGTCAAGGATGTGTCTGTGTAATTGATTCACCACCTTTTGTCAGCGCTGGTTAAATTGAAATAAATAAGTCTGAGCGCGATGTCATTAAGCTATGTTGCTTTCCTTTCGCTGTAGCGATTATTTTGTCCAGGTTTTGTTTATGTCACGTACTACCGTATTTTATAAAGCGAAACCAAAGGCCCACATCACATACATAGCTTAAGAAGTAGTTGCTTCATAAAGAAGTCAGCATTCAACGTCGCAGGAAACCTTGTTATGGTCGTGAAATTCACGTTCCAAAGCGTATTTGGTAATTCTCTCCAAAATCCAAGACACTTCAGCGTGCGAGGTCGCGAGGAGTCACTCGAGCTGTATTCTATCCTTTGATCTGATTGGCCTACATCAAAACAAAAGGTTTTACGTCACGGAAATCGTTTTGCCGCTCGGGTTCGCAGACGCCATTTTTCGGAGGGAGAGAAGCGACGACCGGAAATGCGTCTGCACTTCGCAGGCTAAATACATACAGGCTATATAATTATTCATTGGGGTGGCTTGGTGGCTCAGTGTCTCAGTAGTCAATGACAAGCCACAGTGACCAACCAAGCCAATAGAACATATACCTTTCTCAGCTCATTCTTTAAGACCCAACCTTGGCTGATGAGCCATCAAAGCAAAGAGCCACTAAAAATATACACCTTTACTTGTTCTTTTAAAACTTATTCTTATTTAACAATTAATGAATGAGGCTGAGTATCTCATGAAGAATTATGGAGATCAAGGAGATTGTCATCGTGATAACACCCTCCAAGATCTCCATAATTCTTCATATGATACGAAAGCCGAATTCAGTAATTGTTTTATTATTCATTCGAAATAATTCCTAGTTTAAAATCATGGCTAAAACATGCTTACCTCCATCGATCCATCGATGTTAAGTTCATCTTCGATAGTGCACGTTTAGGGTTTGTTCAGCTCCGCAAATATTCTCCGAATACGATATTTCGCTCTTCGAGTTGTCTTCTTGATGTTCTTGCCCTGTCTTTAACTATTATTTTGCCTAGTTCTTACTCTTGAAACGAGTGAAATGTCCGCCATTTTTGTTCTCACAACCAAAACAACTCAACCTCATCCCCAGGTCTTCTCAGTTAACGGTACATTAACCTGCAAAAAAGCTGCACTTTTGATGTCATTGGTTCATTAAACACAAAATTCTTCCAAATTTGGTCATCAATAGCTGGTTATGGTGAATTATGCGTGTGCTTTTAGCCAATCAGAATCAGGGAAATATTTTAAATGAATAATAAATGTATTTATTATATACACACCAATGAAATACCAGGATTTTTCCAGTGACAAAAATTTGGTATCAAATGACGATACAATTTTTATCCTTCACATGTGAAGATATCACGGTCGTTATAGCTACATCAGTCTCAGCCAATAGGAAAAGAGCATCACAGCATCTCGCCATTGGTGTCTATACAATAAACAGAATATTACATGCCCGCTTGTGGATACAAACTTTATCTTCGAGTGTTCAACTCGATATCTCACTCATTCACTGCATTCACTCATGATATATCGAGTAAAACACTCGAAGATAAATTAATTCATATCCAGGCGCGGGCATGTAATATTCTCTATTTATTATATAGATACTGATGAAATACCAGGATTTTTCCTTTTACTAAAAAATCATATCTTCATTGCGTGCAGTGAAGATACTATTTGTGTGAGGATATTGGTGTCGCCATGGTTACTAACATAATTTTTCTCTTCTTCATTAGAATTTTGACTTTTTCTAACAGTTTTATATTCATAATAACAGAAATAAAGAGGAAATATTGAAATATAGGCTCAAAGTATTGTAAAAACACTGTCCGTAAAACGCTATCCACTGGTGAAATTAACGTGATAAAACGACAAAGCTTTTAGAATTTTAAAAAAAGTTGTGTTTTATGTAGGAATTTCATCAGTATCTATAAAATAAACAGAACATTACATGACCGCTTGGGGATACGAGTTTTATCTGCTCGTGCTGAAAGTATCTCTCATTCGTTCGCTTCGCTCACTCATGAGAGATACTTTCAGCACTCAAAGATAAAATTCGTATCCCCGCGCGGCCATGTAATATCCTCTATTATATTTCTTGTGTCTTTCTTACACTTAATTATAGACTTATATGTAATATCTTTCTCGTTTTATTAACACTCGTCTTGACAAGTGAGCTACCGAGCTACTTTTGTTTAAGACCTTTTAAGATATGGCCTTGTATTCTGTAGTTTCTCCAAAAGTACACTGAACATGACGTTAAATCCGTGAACAGGATATGAGCGTAGGACGTGCATTCTACCGATATCAAACTATGATACGATGATGTTCTTTAAATAAACACGGTTCGAAACTTGATATACCGAAACTACCAACCCAAGAAATAGCCAACAAGGCTTAAAAAGAATGACCTCAGATCAATCAAAAGATAACCTTCAGCGAAGGAAAATCCTTCTTCTCTTATGTAATCCGCTTTCAGCTCTTACTTCTTTCCAGCAAAACTCTTAATGAGGGATAACTTAGAAACTCACCGTCAGCTTTGGCGATCACAAATTTCTGAAAAGTTTCATACACGACTTTCTCGTCAAATATGAGCAAACCAAGAGAACCATGGCCATCTCTAGAATTTTTAACCTTACTAGCAGCACGACGAAAAACTTTTGCCATAATTTTCACTGATGTATTGCCAGAAAATTGGAAAATCGTTGTTTTCCGCTTCGAGTGTTGATGTTAAAACTTAGTGTTTCAAAGCGAAATGGCGGAAATGGATCACATATCCGCTAGAGCCCAGTCTCTGACGCGCAGAAGTAGTGGGCGGGGAAAAACCCTTGTCAAACGGAAGTGATATGTATCTTAAAACAGTGCCTGCATGAAAGACTATGATGTACGTTTCTAGACCTTGTTTCAGTCAATTAGTTAAAATTGTCAGCACTGATTTGCAAAGAACCTGGTACCATTATCTATCTTATTTCTTCCTGCGGGTAGTTCAATTCCAGTTCAAGATGTTTGCCATACGTTATTTTTAATAAGTAGTCCCGGAAATGGGTGTTTTCAAGAGAGCCGTGTGTTAGTAAATACTGCGTAAGAGATCAGGAAAACCACAGCTTGAAAATGCATATTAGATGACGCAAGCTTTAAATTAAGGTTGCTAAAAGGCTACTATTAAAAAGTAAATTTAGCCGGGGCTTTCATCCAATGTCTAATTTCTCCGGAAAGAACTTGTACTTGTGTGGAGCTATTTTTATTATTGTAAATGTTTCTTTTCCATTCGACCAGTGAATCTCGGTCAGCTATTACCATTTTCCAATTAGCGTGGCCCTGTTAGAGGAAAAATCCGACAAGCGACAAGGCCTTTAAACAGCGACACAAGGAAGATTCAGGATGAAATGGCAACAAACGACGAGAGCCAAATAAGGGCATAAACAACTGAAATACCGACAGGACATGGCTTTCTTCTCAATGCGCCAAACGACCGGTTCTGAAATTCAGACAGGGACATACATACCCCCATGCCACCACCACCATTAGCAGGGAACATTTTTACGAAATCTAACATTTCATTCAAAGAATAAAACACTAAATAAAACAACCTGAAATGCTCGACAGCAGCAATGACGACATAATTACGACGATCATGGGGTACGATGAAATAGCCAAGCAAATGTCACTCCGGTGTGTCCAGTTAAATTGCTCGCAGGCTCAACAATTATTCCCGATATTACAGAAAAAGTGGTAAAGGTTCCGCGAATGATGGTAAGATAATCGGTTTTCTTTGATGTTACTTTTTTCGTTTTCGCTCGATTTTATTTATATTTTGATTATAACCAATTCATGGTGAGTAACCGGCAAATGCCTTAGTTTAGGAATTTGCCTTTTGTTTGGAAATTGTAATTCTGGTAAATACAATCGTTACATTTTTGGAGAGCCCATGAGGTCATATGCTTTGCATTAATTACAGTTTAAAATTTTCATTGACTTTTTGGCTAATTTTTGAATCGTCAGGACAAAAAAAACATCTTTTTTAATAGAATGACTATAATATAGTTTGTGCTTTTTGTTATAACTGAAACCGCACCTGTTGAGCAAATTAAAGAAGGTTTAATATTTATAGTTGCCGTAACAAGAAGGGTACAGTAGCTAGTAGAGCAACAGGTGCAAGGTGGATCACTCCAGGAGGGCATTTTTAACAGAGGAGAGCTAAAGAATCGCGTTATTTTCAATATTCGTGGAGTTTCGGTAAGCCTCGGCATCAAAGCGAGCCAAATTTCACATTGATTCTGTACACGGTCGAAATGTCGGTATGACAAAGTGGAGGGTTGACAATCTGGGGCTTTTAGCCAATTGCAATGATTGTGAATCAATTTTTTCAGGATCTAAAGGAAGTCCTTTACATTTCAGTCCTTTGAAAACTGGCTGAGGAGAATCGTAACTGATAAAAAACTCGAACGAGATAAATTTCCCAAGTGATTTAATAGCTAGTTACGAAATTGAATCGAACTCCTACTTCTTGACGATGATCTGATTAGATTATTCTCCCAATACGGGTAAACAAACAGATCGTCGACCGTCAAACCTCGTGAAAACGTCCACCCTAAATGCGAAGATTTATTGATCAATCGCGGAGTTGATCGCTGACGATCTTACTCTGCTCACTGTTTCAAATCTCGAAGTTGCCTTCGTCGAGCGCTCGGCTCGCTCGGGGGCCGGTGTCTTTAATTCGTGCCGACTATGTTTTCATGACGGAGAATTATGCCTATAGGGGTATAATTTCAGCTGATTAAACTATCTCGGCACTTTTCACGAAAGAACATAGAATTGAAGCTGAAGGAGAAATAGCCCTCGTTTTCTTTAGTGGTGATATGCTGACATGTGCGCTGAGGGTGAAACGGTACAATTTTTTTCTGTCTTCTAGTTTTAGTGGTCTTGTACTTCATCTGACCTTAAACTGAACTATCTATTACCATATGGACAAAATCCTGAAATTCAGTTCTTACTTATAGTGCTTATGTGGTTGGTCTGTGACATAAATAGCCGCTTGGTTTTTATCATCTAGTTCTCCAAAACTACTGAAGAAATTTTTTTTCTCTTTATTATACGATCTTTTAGGATATTTTCATATCGAAAATACTGAAAATCGACAATGATTTTTTGAGAGACACGTGTATAATGCGAAATCAGTGTCTGTATGTGTTGGTTATTTTGGTTTGGAAATTTATTTAAATAGCAGGATCAGGAGAAGCTGAATTCAGTATTCAACAGCAAATTTCATTTGGTGATAACATATTAGTGTTTCCAAAGTTTTCATAATCATAATCCAGTTTTTCTTATGCAATCTTACTTAGCATTCATACGTCCAAATTACTATTAAAATATCATGCTACTATAAAGAATTTTTAAAATTTCAATCTCGCTGGATCGATCGCAACTTTTAGTGTACTGTATTTAAAACTCGCATTTTAATTTCTCAAGAGACTATATAGTACTGATCATTTAGTTCAAATCATAAACAATTCAATTGTTTTGCATTCTATCTTTTGGATCATTAGCTTATATATATGGGCACATGGCAATAATTTTATTTATAAGTAGTGTATATTTTGATATATTCTAAATGTACTTAGAAAAAATAATTTTGTCAGCTGAATTAACAAAATTTCCCTTGCTTTTTTATATTTCCCGTACATTTACATATCTCTTTTGTCCAAACTTTCCCCAAAAATTCAATTAATAACAGTGGAATAAGGGTAAAATTTATTTAAATTCAAATAATGTGTTAAAAGGTGTTTTTTTCTTTTGTGAAAGCTTGCGAAGCTAAAACTTTCACATGACTACGAGCCCTTCGTAAAAAATATGACCAACGTAATATGCATGGCAGCAAACCTCGACAAAACCTTATATGAACTAAAGCACCCACTAACGGGAGCCCTTTTAACAGTTTTGTTGGAATTTTGAGAAACTAAGCAGTCCTGTTTGACCCATTCTACTCCAAAAAGAAAGGCTGAGATTTCATTCACATCTAACTTTCGTCTCTGTAGGTTCTTGATTTTTACCGTTGTTTAAAATCCCCCGCCTGCCCCGACTGCCCGGCAGCTTCGGCTCCTCGGCTCGTTCAGTCCGAGGCTGAGGTTGGGTCAGTCCGAGGTGAAGTTCATACGCGTTTACTCTGCTCCCAAGAACTTTTTCGAATTTTAACGTTTAGCCACTTTCTCGAGACGCAATCTCTTAGTCAGCCATGTCCGAGTTTTCAAGTATATCAACAATTTCTCCTTGTCTTCATTCATAGTTACAGATATTAAACCGTTGTATATATATAGTTACTATAGTTCCAGAGTTCCCAACTGTTATTTGCAGTCTTACTAACAACTTATTTGCAATTTAATGCCCCCATACCCGGTGTACGTGGATTTGTCAAAATACTGTGTTTTCCTTCTTGTTGCAAGTTTATCATGATGTGCATGTGACTACGATAACCTCTATCGCAAAAAAATATTTTTGCATTATACGTATATGTATAGTTACGTTGCAATTTTTTTTTGCTTTCAAGTTTACAACCTTAGCGATTGAATTCGAAGAAGAATTTCCTCACTTCCAAACGAACGATACAACAAACAGTTTGTTGTTTAGTTATTCTTCAAAGTTCATGTAAACATTCAATTATAAATGATTAAAAATGTTGGCCTGTCAGAAATCTGCTATGATTAAGTGACTGTTCTCATTAAACACTAGTAATTTTCCGAAACTATTACTTTTAAAATTGCAAAATAATTATTCCAGCCTTTGACAAATCATTCAGATTGGATCAAAACACGGTCATCTGTGCTTGCACCTGTTTGCCTGCAATTAAAATGTATATACATATGTATAAGGAGCGAAATCCTCAACTGATTCAAAGGCGATTAAGGACAAATAGATTTTAATAACAGTGCTCGCATCGTGAGATTGGATGACCTGACAATTAACTGTAAATATCAAATTTACTGCCATGATTGCATATATTTTTTTCATATTTAAAACCAGAATAATTTAAAATCTTTTCTTATTCCTATTTTCACATTTCACAATGAAGCCGGAGTGATAAGCTCTTACGAAAAGTCTCAGTTATTTATGTGGTGCGCGACCCAACTGAGATAAATTACGCATCACTACCATAAATTAACGTTTGTTATAGATTGCCTTGTATTTACACTTGATAATGCATTAGAATTCATAATTATAATTTCGTTGCAGGTTTCCACGCATAGATGAAAAGAAGGAATCACATAACACTTTCCTGCTTCTTAGAAGAAAGGAGAAATGTTCGGAGTGATATCTTCCCTGCGTAGAGAAGGTTTTCGATGATTGGACGCGCAGTTAAATTCATTTTTAACGTGAGCGTAGAGGCGCCAAGCGATTGTCCGGGACATGGCTTTGGAGTGCAGATTGAATACTTTATCTACTTCAATGCGTTCTTAACAATATATGTGGGCTGTGGTTTTTGAATCGCTCCAATGAATTTCGAATCTCGAAGAAATATCAGCGTTCTTAACTTATTTGCGATTTCCTGCGCCCTAAAAATTGCAGGAATCAATTGAAGTGAAATTCGTGTCTCCGAACAAGGCATATCTGGGAGGCAAGCATCTCATTAACACAATAATCAACAGTTTTTCACGTTTTCAGAAGAACTAGTT